TTTTTCAAGGATTTTCTCAGAAGGAATGATGATGATGTTCTTTTAGGATGTTCGTGTTTAGGTGACTTAGCGTACTAAATATGTCATGTGCCGTTTTCAGATCAGTTCTTCGTCCCTGTAGCACAGAGGAAATATCCTTGTGTGTCGGAGTCTCTTTTTATCGGATTTGTTTCACAGCTTCATCGTCCACTTAGTCTCTCGTTTCCGCACCTAATCAAAGGGATTTGTATCTCTGTTGAAGAGATGAGTAATAATGGTGGATGTAAACGAGACGTGATGTATACATGCTGAAACGCACAGAGCGTGTCACTGCAAAATCAAGTATAGGCAGGTTATGCCTCAAGCGAATATATCTAAGACACCATGGCGCTCATAGTTAGGGTGTCCTTTTCTAAAATTTTCTATTGAGGAGGATTCAGTCACCTGGGCTGGGAGGATGGGATCGAAGCGTAAACTTATCGATGTGCTCATGACTGGATGTTCTGCCTTCGAAATGTAGGCCGAGAGTCTCCTTGAGGCGAGCTGATGCTACCTTCGCAATAATCTTTGTGGTGAGCTTTGACTCACTAAACTGGTTCTCGGCCTCTAATTTCTCAGCTTAGAGAATTTTTCTAGAAACAAACTCCGTCTGGTAAAGGAATTGTCATAGATCGGAAGTGGTCTAGATGAGTATTTGAAGGGTATTTCTTCTTAATGTGAGGAATGACTGTCCAAGGGTTATAGAATTCATGTAAATAATAAGTTTTGCTATAAATGGACAGTATTCTAGTTAATCCAAACAGTGACTTAAATGAAGTAGATGGGAAGAAAGAAGAGACGCCTGCAAATAGAGCGGGTTTCCAACAACTGTGTCATGTGGTTGCTTCGTATTTTCTTCTCTTAAAGCCTTTCCGCTGCGACTGGTAGGCCTTCTACGTATTTTTGCTTATCAGCTCTAATGCTTCCCTTCATTCTTTTATTTACTTGTGTGTATTCCGTCTTTAACTTGACTTTCTCTGTTATCGTTCGGCTGTTGTTATTCGCTGTTTTATTGTTCTTCCTACCTTAAACCTTAACCAGGGTCTCCACAGATATCCACTCCTTTAGATGATGCTTCTTGTTATTAGCACTTCTTGACACGTTGAAGTTAGTGCTCCACTGATCACTTTTCGACTGTTCTTCAGAGTATTTTACCTTTCTCTATGTAGGTCATGTAATGCTAGAAAACTTTTGATGAGAGCTATCTTGAATTCGTTGAGTTTTTCAGTATCTCAAAGGAAGGCTGAATGGAACATTTATAACGCTGTTTCTCCAGTTGTCCAATGCTTCTTTATCTTGACAACCAACAGGTGGTAACCTGATGTTATGTTAGATTCTCTCTCAATCCCCATGTCTTCTATTGCCCTGTTAGTGATGCAAATATGATCTACCTGGTTCTCCCTGGTGTGATCCGGTGATACCCATGTAACGTTGTGTATACGTTTGCGGAGAAAATATAGTGCCACTACGTACACCTAACGAAATAAATCTGCCTACTAAACGCAATCTAGAATCAATATAATAATGGAAGTATCACGACCAATTACAAAGATAAGTAGCACATTGCTAGGTTTGAAGTTATTACGAGTTCACTTAGTATGCGAACGGAACAAAGACTTGCGACCGAAGACCAATAAGCTAGCTACTTGATGCGTCCCAGCCCCGCTAACTGGAGGAAGAAGTTAAAGCTTGGAAAGGAAATGTATATTCCGTAAGCCAGAAGCACGAGTGAATAATAACAGATACAAATCAAACGTATATGTACAGCATAAAACTGCCTTTGGGGAGCGTTGCAAAAATAGCATACTAAAAATACACAACGGCACAACTGTTACGGGAGAACTGAATACATTTGGCGGATTAAAACCTTTTATTGTACATTATTAATTCACTGTGTGTTTGGATGTAATTGTTTTACCTAACTTTTGAAGTTGTTTGTTTATATCATTATTTCGGACATTTTGGTTTGTCTTTGGTTTGGTATTTTGGTGATCCCTTTGTCTTTGGTTTGGTATTTGGGAGTTTTGCTCCGGGAACCTACAAAATTGAAGGCTTGTTTTGTAATTGTTATAATTATTTTTGTTAGAACGACATTTGGTCGACTATTTGTGAATTGCGAAGAAATTTGGTACCTAAATTGGAGTTTGGTTCTATTTTTAATTTGGGTTCGTAATTTGCAAGTAGATTGATAGTCCGTACTTCAATAACTGGAACGAGCAAAACTTGGACGCAACACCAATAGCGTTAAAGATGCTCCCAAGTGAGAAGTACGACATGAAGTTGGAAAGAGCTCTTTTGGCGCAAAAACAAGGGATTTTAAATTTCCAAAGTAAAATTATAAAATTAAGACATTTACCAAGTTCTGGGGATCTAGCACCCCCAACACATGTCTAACCGACAGTGGCAAAAATTAAGCTCAAGGTATCAACGAAGGGTCAGTAAATTTTATATGAAAGACTGAGTCAACCTCATGTCTGACATTCAAGCAGTTATGACGATATCGATAGCTTGTCTGAAATTAGATAGGTCTTAGTTAGTGAATGGTTAATTCAAATATTATTGACTGATTCGCCAATACGCACGATTATTTTGTTCGCCTTCAAAGGAGTAGTCAAATTCACTCATGAGTTACTGAGCATTAATGCTTCAGGCACACTACATACATAATTGACAGATAATTCCCATTCAAACATTGAAAACACAAAGTTCAGCGAAAGGGTCTCTTTTCAATGAATTTATTATATATATCGTATACATATACATATACATATATATATAAATAAACATCAAATCATATATATATATTCGAAAATTTTTTAAGTCAAGTACTTGTTCCGTGAGGAAATGTGGAAAAGGAATAACCAAAATGATGTGATAGAAGGCTCACAATACTTTATTACGTAATACGGATTATAACAATAGAAGTAATGAGTTAGTGAATAATTATAACGTGAATGTAGCAAAGTGATTAGAATTCCTTTGTTACAGTAATTAGGGGTCATACAGGTGTAAAAAAAGAAAGTCATATAATTAGCAATTATGAAAGAAATAATGAGAATATGGTATATAAGTAAGGAGAGAAATGCAGTAATAATAATAACAGTAATATTAACAATACCAAGGTCCAAGGTAACGACAAAAATAGGACGTATATGTTTTTTACGCATAGTTCCGTCTTGAGCTCATTGATGGTAAGAGCTTCGGCTATTTTTAGGAGTTGGACGAATAGGATATACAGCTTTAAAATCAAACTACGGATCAGTACAATGTTTACTTTCAATTATATGTTCAAGTATGGAACTTCTAACTGCTCTCTTGCCACCCATGTCGAACAACAGTGGGTCATGTTTCCGTGTCCTAGGTGAAAGCGAGCGTCGGCTACGGCCGATATACCTTGCTCTACAAGAGCAGGTGAACTTGTAGACACACATAGAAATGGCTAGACAGGAAGGTCATCGTCTATGGATACGGAAAACAAGTTCCTACTAGTGAACGTTATTCGCAGTTTTGCCGTATGGAATGTCCTTATCATTGCTGTCGTTAAACGATTTTTGATCACATCAGGAGTTCGATCACCCTGAAATCCAAAACTTTTGTAAAGGATTTTCTTTGAATAGGGACAACTGGATCCCTTGTCACAACTACTTCTTTTAATATTCCCATCTATGAAGCGGTCCGGATGATTATTTTTCATCAGGGTTTTCCTGAGGATTGCAAGTTATTAGTCAATGAATTCCGTACTACATATCCGATGTATTCATTAACATAAAGAGTGATTAAGATTTCTCTTTCTGTCTAAAGGAACACATCAGTAAATGTTGGTCAGCTGGTCATTCCATGGATGACATATTTGTTATTTGTGACAATAATATTGAACTAGAAGGCATTTTACACTCGATTAACATGTAGCGTGGCGTCGAGTTGAGGTTAACTATGAACACCGCTACAAAGAAACACGTGCCAAGTAAATCAGAAGGCGAGGGTTGAACGTAACCAAATAAATCGATAAAATCCCCAAGAAGCCAAATATCAGAAGACAGTTAATGGACCTAATCAAGATATATTCGCTGGCGATATCGTGGCATCGAAAGGATACCGAGATCGTGCCAGGATACAAGCTTGGTTACAGAACGTAACCGAACTCGCTCGAAGTCACAATCAAAGTGTGTGAATAAGAATGGAAGCACAAAATAGCTGTCATTACCACAGTCAAACAAAAGCACATTAAAACAAACACTGGTACAGTTGGTTATAATAATAATTGTTTTTATTAAACCACTCGTGTTCTCGTGATAAATGTGAGTCACTACAAACACATGACACCCATAGACTACACGATCCAATGTGTGTGACCAGTCAGCCTATTTTATCTGTGTACGTTTGATAAGAAAGTGTAACGCTCCCTTAAAAAATTCGTGTTCAGGGAACAAAGATGCAAGTTTTGCACCATAATTCCAATCTAAATAAAGTATTTCAGGTTTACAAGTGATCCGAATGTCGAATGCCGCTCTGGCTGAAGTTTGAGAGTCCACACTTTCTAGAGGAATCATATCTCGTCATTACCTAGTGTGGTCAACCGTAACTAAAATGTAATCATTTCCCAGGTTGGCTCCCGTAATGGCCTAATAATATCAATCCACACTATCTCCTGAGTCCCAAGCAAATATATCACAAAACCTTTTTAACTTTCGGCATAACATTCCCACATACTCCGAGATGGCAGTTCACAAATAAAGGTGAAGTATCATCCGTCTCTATTAGATTAGCATTAATCGATATTTGGAGTCTAGATACTGTGTCTAAAATACAGAAACACACAGAAGCTAATTGACTGTAATTAGTGAAATTGAATGACTAACCTACCACTTCTAGACATTACAAAATGCTTGGAATCGCACCGAAACATTAAGAGAAGAGTGCAAAGATATTAATAAGTTTATGCAAGCTCGTAACGAATACTTTGGATATTGGATACTGGACATCTCATCGAGGTTGTTGCCATAAGAACGTCTTAGGTAATTCTAAGTGGTGATTTGATTATTCAATTTATCACATTCAAAACATAATCATATCTATTTTGTGTTTTGACTGTCGAATTTTCATTGTCTTACGTTTATGTTTTTGAGTTCACACGGAAACAGTCGTAAGAAAGTCTATAGAAGTCATCTAGTATATAATAACTCGCCTGGAATTTTAGACGATGAAATAACTTATTAGAATTTTTTAGTTGCTTTCCATAATAATGTAGGTGCAGTGTGTTCTTAATAAGTTGTCGATCACCTTAATCACGAATGGCTTTTCATATCCCACTGCACTATTCCTTGAGGCTAGACCCAACCTTACCAAGCTCTGAATATTCCACAGGTGTAATCTTGCTCTGTTGGCCTATGGTCACAATTATCTGATTCTCTTGTTCTCAGCCCTGTCCTGTTGTCGAGTTTTGTCATTCTTATCTCACCCTATTTGTTTCTAGATTTTTTCGGGTCAATTTTCCAATTGTTATGCTATATTTCCCTCTTAATTCGCACTAACGACTTTCAGGTTGAACACGAATTTACCATAGACCCAACGTAACACAGAAGACAGAGTAACTACCTCCCACACAGAACCTGAATTCTTACAACCATTTGTTCACTTAAGTGATTTATCCAATGCATTCTATGACTTGCCAGGATTGTCCTAGGAAGTTAGAGGTCGAACGCTACGTTAAAGAGCATAAGATTGATGAAATGCTCCAGAATTTGACCTCTTCGTTGTTCTACGAAATGCCAGGTAAGCATTTCTACAACCCATTCTATTCGTTAAATATCCATTACTATATATATATATATATATATATATATATATATATATATATATATATATATATATGATCACTCAGATCCTCTACAGAAACGGATTCACGTGTGTGTCAAATGGTTTTATCGCTTCTCATATTTGAATTTGTAGCCTTATGTCAATAGGAAGTAAGCAATGACTCACTTAGTATAAACTCGGCGTTAAATTGATGTTTATAACTTACATGAACGTCGAACGTTTAGACATAATATCGCACTACTTTTCCGTTACTTTATAAGTGTTCACTGAAATTTCACAATGTCATTCAGTTTTATAAATTATACTGTTATAATGCTAAATGCCAAGTACATTTGCACCCCTTATTTTGTTCGGTTATTGTGATTTTTTCAGCAGGTTAGTTTTGAATGAGTAAATGTGATGGTTAGGAGTATTCGAATTATAGTACGATTTAAGAATCCCAGAAATAACGCAAGTGGATCAAGAAGTACTCGATAGGCGCGAACGAATGCACTGTATTTGGAATTCAGAATCAAACATTTAACAAGTATAAAGGAATCATTATTTCAATCAAACATCACATCCGCCACATCTCAAATTGGAGTCTATGTGTTTGTAATTGATTATACGTTTCCTTCTTAAGTTCATCCTGTGTCTGATCGGCAGTTTATTGTATAAAGACTCTGTATTATCTAGAATGCACTCATCAGTATTAGAATTAACAACCAAAATCGAAACAGACTCACCTGCTTCCTGGGATTGTGTACAATCACAATGTCGGTTGAGTACTGAAACTAGTGATACCTAGAATTTGAACCATAGACATTCAGACTATCCTCTCCCACGAAATAATGTCGGGTCTTCATATTCCCAAGTTATTAATAATGTGTCTTCATTTAAAACATATTTTTCACATTGACTAGAGTATACATTGAAAGCGACTTTATGATAAGGATAAACAACAGTTGATATGAAATCATCTTAATTGTGATCAGAATCGAGCTCATTTAACACTCGTGCTACGCATTGAACAAGTTTCCCACAAGAAATTAAGACACTGAGAGGATAACTAATATTTGCTATGGCATCAATATCTGATTCTTCTGAAATAGTTTCCTCAGATTTATTAAGAGTGTATTCTCAGAGCAAAGGATCGTTAGAAAAATTTGCATCTATCAAAACTACATCAGGTTTTCGATTATAATTATGTTCACTCAACATATTTTCTTCAGATTTGTAAGAAACTTCATCAGAAATATGTAGATCACCAGCAAAAACCATATTTTATACAATAATATGAGAAATCTAACAAATCGATTGGCTAGAAACTGTTATCTTGCAAAAATTATGAGTTTCACTTAACGCTAAACTGCTATATGACTTTACACTGTCTTTTGAAATCGGTGATAAGGATAAATGATCATTAGGAACACTGGAATTAATAGAATTAGAATTACAAGACTTAATATTCGTTGCAGCAAGATGAACAGTAGTATTACAAACTGATTGAATATGTCCAATATCACCTTATTTAAGGCACTTAGAATTACGAAATTTACATGAATTAAAAGAGTGGAACCTGCCACAAGACAAACATTGACCAAACTTATGCCCAGCTTCGTGAGCCGCATTGCAACTCCTCAATAAATTATTTGCATAACCTTGAGTGTGCACTGGGTTGGGATAACGTAATTTAGTGGCATTTTTTGTATCCTCATGAATCATTTTACGAAATCTTCTATTACCGCATTCGAAATTTGTATACTTAGCATAGTCTAGCAGTAGTTCCTTGAGAGCTGCATAAGGAAGCGAAATGGGCTTTCTCGGCATAGCCAGAGTTTCTAATAAGCTATATGATTCTTTTCCGATGAATGTGAGGAAATGTACTACAATATTAACATCCTCATCATCTTTCTTTGTCATAGCCCAGATTTTGAATCTTTCAAAGTACTCCTCAAAAGCATCAAAATCTGAATGTATATCCAACAATTCCATCACAGACTCCATTGCGACCCCAATATGGTCATAAGAAATATTTGAATTATAGTATAAACTAAGAATCCCATAAATAACGTAAGTGGATCAAGATGTACTCGATAAGCACGAACGAATGTACTGTATTTGGAATTCGAAACTAAGCATCTAACAAGTACAAAGGAATCATTATTTCATTCAAACATCACAGCAAATGGGAACTGTGAACTGTTTACCTTCTGCAATATTACTCTTTATTATTGAACAGTGGCTGATATTTATCATTCGTTTCCTCTTTTTACTTATAAGGAGATCCGAAAATGTTTTAAGATTATCGATTAAAACTTTATATAACCATTTACTGTAGTAAAATTTAAGTCTTTCTATTAACTGCACGTGACCACAGTACCTAAAAAACAACTCTGTCTCGTTTCCCAAACTTTATAAAAAGTTGCCAGTTAATCTGCCTCAAATAAATTAATTATCAATTTAAGGTCGAAATTAGCTTTCCGGCTTTTGAATCTCACTATGAGATTTCAAAATTTAATCTGACTATTAAAATATATTATCTTTAAAGTACATTCGTTTCACTTCATTACCAGTGAAGTTTGAAGTATTCTGCTGTTAATATGAACCAAACTTTAGCTTGTCTTCTGACTAAAATAAGAACAACTAATGTAATAGAATAACATGGTTTCATTATATCTCAATGTTTCTGATCAGCTGCTTACAATGTAAACATAGTTGTATTAATCTTTAAAAGTCAGTGTGCATACATCATATTATAATGCCGAAAGAGTTTTCATCAATAAAAATCAGTGAAAGGAACAATAAGTAAGGAAGAACGATCAGACATGTTCATATGATAATGTGAACATTTATAAGTTGAATATAAAAATAGTCTAGAGTAAGCAACTAAGAACGCAGAGATAGAAGTACTTGGAAATTATATGTGAATATTAAAGTCAGATAACTTTTAAAAATTAACTAGCTGGGAATACATTAGATAAAAAGTATGAGTTAATAATTAGATTCATAAAATGAAGGATTGCGTAACAAACATTTATAAATAAGTTCACCAAGGCAAGATTGACAACTACATCTTTCTAAATGCCTAAATTTGGTTTAAGTCTTTTGATAGCAAATGCTTCAGTAGATCGCAATAAATTTGACATTCTTTATTCATTAATCATCTTTAAGAACTTTGAAACATCAACACCATGGCCAGTATCAAAGAGGGGGGCGGGATTGCATTACTGAAAACGTATTTTCATCTCAGTCTAACCTTTTATGGAATGTGCCATGCAATGTCCTCTTTTCTGTTTTTCTGATGTATGTTCTTTGACACGTACATGTAAACTGGTAAATGCAATTAGAAACGATACAAGGTAGGAATTCGTTTACATATGACTGTCTTAGTGAGTAAGTTGCTTGATACAGAAGGACCGGTTTGGCAGCTGGAAAAGTCATCTTTATTGTAATTTTTAACCTACATTCCGTTTTTTTCAATTGCCTTATCACCCTTGAAGCCAAGTCTTAGGAATTCAGACTTTCTGCCAAATACAGTATACTCCATTTCTTTCATTTAGTCTTTCCGTACTTGTTTGTGAATTTCTGAGGGGAATCATTATTATGTAAACAAAGTCCGGGTATAGTTAGTTCCTCATCAATTTTATCTTCCGAAAATAATCTTCCGGTACGATTGAACAGCTTTCTAAACAAAGCTATAGTCAGATTGATGTAGTGGATATGGGTAGCCCACCGAGCCCAATCTTGACAGATATCTTCGTGGTAAACCTAGAACAAACAGTGATGAAATCGATAAACAATGATACAGCGTTGTATGTTGGGTATTTTGATGACGAATTAGTGGCCATTAACGTTTATCAACATGCTTCTCATATGCTGGAACTTTTCGTAAATTTTTATTGACGATAACTCTTACGACACTATGATGTGTAGTATATACCCTGACCTTTGAGTATTAATACTACCATGTTTAGGTTTTATGCAGCTGATCATAAACTGTGAAATGTAGTGAAATCATGTTATTCTGTTACATTAGTTCTTCCTTTAGTCAACTTTATGAATGGGAAGAAATGGTCTGTATTTATTGGTATAATTAGATCCTGTGAGCATTGACTGGGTATAATATAGGTGGATTATGGCTAGCATCAGAATCAAAGATGCGCATTCAGTACGACTTGAAACTTATCAGTGAGATTTACCTACATTCGTTTTGGTTTTTATATCGGTATCTGAGCTAAGTACTGTGTGCCTCAAATGACTGAATCCGAGTAACCAATGGCTTGTGCAGAGTATGATTCTTATCATACTATTGGTAAGTCAAACTTTTGCCCTCAGCATCAACAAAAATACAATACGATCTCATTCTAATAATGATATAAATATCATACCCGTTGCACAAGTGATTGGATACCTAAACTCAGTACCTCATTGAATAATGTGTTGGCGTTCAGATTGAAAGTCACTAGGTTATATTCGCAGTGCAAACTTAAACACATATGTACCTTTATCCAGTTAAAAAGTTCCATGTAGAATAAATCGTTTGTCTTGAATTCCACTTTAAACCACATTTCATCTAATCTATAAGACATTGTAAGGAAGTTATATTTTACTGGATCAGTCCTGATTAGGAATTCAAACTATGCTGTATTCAACTAGTTAGATAATAGTAATGTGTAGAGAATCAAGAGTTTGTGAATGATTTGTCTGGATAGTGCTTTTTTCAAACATATACTGTATTCAATTTTGAATCATATCTATCACTTATATCAAGGGATATTGTCCTCATCCATATCTTTGAGGATCTATATGGTTTTGATAAAGATTTACTACCAGTGTAATCCTATGGAGCCGGTAAGGTTTATAAAAGTAGCATATCTACCATATTAAAACACCAAGTCACGCTGACCAAATTAGAAAGAACAGATGACGAAGCAAGCACAAAATTCCTTTTTAGTTACCATCCTTTATTATTCTGTACTGTCTATGAGATTGTACAAATAAAGCACAGTTATAACTATTAATAGTAGAATAATGATATATTTAACATACTCCAATAAAAAGAATTTAGATTTCTAACGTTTTCCATCTCTGTTCAAGTAGCTTCTTCAAAATAAGTAAGTAACCGGACCAAATTAATAGATGTTTAAACAGCATAGAATAGTACTTTACTTACTTTTCCTCACTTACTTACTCACTTACTTACTTGCCTACTTACTTACTTACTTACTTACTTACTTACTTACTTACTTACTTACTTACTTACTTACTTACTTACTTACTTACTTACTTACTTACTTACTTACTTACTTACTTACTTACTTACTTACTTACTTACTTACTTACTTACTTACTTACTTACTTACTTACTTACTTACTTACTTACGTCTGTTACCCCCAATGGAGCTTAGGCTGAAGACCAGCACTCTCCAACTCACTCTGTTCTGTGCCTTCTATTCTTGGATGATTTATAAAAATTAACCAGAGAAACGCTAACCAGTATAGAGTAGTAGTAAATAATATGTAGTTCAATCAAAATTAAAATAGATCTGACTATATCAATTTCTCTTCATTTTCATCAAGATGATTCTGTATCGAACATCATTGTGTGTAATTATGTGTATAGATTGAGTTCATTTACAAATTTACTTACTTACACTTGTTATTCCTCATGAAGGAGCATAAGCCGCCTACCGGTCTGGTTAGCGACTTTTTAGCGAGTTAGTTTTCTACAGGATGGGATAACTAACTCTATGTCCAACCCTCCCATTCTACTCGGGCTTGGGACCGACAGTAACTCTAGAAGAGCTACAACTTTTCTCCTCATGGAAAAGCATACGCAGCCCACTAGCACTTTCCATCCAACTCTGTCCTGGTCAATCTTTCCCAGCTCTTTCCATTAGTTATTCATCCGTTTAATCTTTAAATATGGCCTCATAATGTAAAGTTATTTCTAATCAATAATTTATTATTATTTTAGAAAATCCAAAACAATATTTAATTGAACAATTACGTTTATTAAAAGCTTCACGTGATGAATATGCAGAACCTCCAACATTATTTACTGAAACTAATGCGGAAACAATATTTAATATGCTTGATCCATGTGAAAAGAACTCAATCCCTTCTGATCGATATCAGCATGCATTAGAAACATTAGGAGTACTTCAATATGGTAAAGTTATAGACAATAAAGATGAATTCATAAGTAAAGATGTATATATGAATGTTGTGTAAGTAACTGTGTTTTCTAATGAGTTTCAACTTCTTAGTAAAACAGGTTTAAAACAAATGGCATCAACTTATAAACCATTTAAATAAGTTATGGAAAACAAAAAACGTGGTACCAAAGAAGATTCATATGCAAATTGTTATTGTATAACAATGAATTAACCATGTGTAATGTATAAATCAAATAAAAAGATTGATATGAATCAAACTTTTCCTAATTGACAAATCATTGTTCATATATCAGTTTTCTAAATAAATTCACTTGGTATTGTTTGACTTATATCTTCCCATTGAGGTTTAAGATGCAGGTACATCCAGCTGACGAGTACCGAATAGGACGAAACGTGCGTCCTGGATTCCACTGCTAGCCACTATTCATCATTGCTTACAAAAATTCAAAACAATTTTGACAAACTATGTTGTAAAAAAGTTTATCTTACTTCAAGAATAAGTAATAGGTATTTAAACAAAGATCGATAGTGGCTAGCAATGGAATTCAGGACACGCGTTTCATCCTATTCGGAGGTCATCAGATGGATGTGCCTGCATCTCATAGTTTTTCACCGTGGGTATCAAACCCAGTAACATTCGCTTTAAATGCCATCGCGTTATCCACTTAACTACTGATTACTTACATCCACCTGTTTGTGCAATGGGGCGAAGTTTAAATTCACTTGGTGTTGTTTTATTTATATCCTCCCATTGATATTTAGGACTGCAATTGATCAGTCTCATGTTGACATATGTGCGTCCTGTGTGGAATGAAGCGAACGGTACTGGGTTCGAGTCCCGGAGCGGACATCAACTCTAGGATGCTGTAGAATCCAGCTGACGAGTCCCAACTAGGACAAACTTGATTCCACTGCTAAATACTGTCCAGCTTTGCTTAAAAAGCTTGTGACTTCAGGCTATATCGAGGCGATCCGCACAGGATGCATATATGCTAATATGAGACTGATAAATTGCAGTCTTAAATAACAATCGGAAGGTACAAGCAAAACAACACCTAGTGAATTTAAGTAATAGGTATGTTCTATGTAGAGGGAAGTAACATAGTTAAAAGCTAATCAACAAATTAGAAGTTTATGTACACGTTAACTATCATCGACTTGGTTGTTCTAATATCAGTGATTTATTGATTAGTATGATCAAATAGAAATAACAGATGTGTGAAATAATCAGTCAGTCAGTCAAAACGTAGAACTTCGTACGTACGTACATCAGTTCGAGTTGCCACACCACATTAACACACAGATATAATTGTCAATTCAAATTCCGTAGTGGTAGAGGTAGTAAAAGTATAAGCAGTAATCGGAAACATTAGAGTTTGAAGATGTTATTCAAGGAGTATAATCTAGTGAAATAGATTTGGAAAGAGAAAAAAAGGGACGTAAATAATTTAGAAGATTAAAATTTGGTAGAACACAAAAAGCGGATGCACCTGCACCATTGCAAAAGATTTTGAGCCATGTCATTCAAGGTCTCTAACTATCGGTTCCTATGATCTCGCGGATTCTAACCAGGTAGTCTTCACCTACTAACATGGCTCAGTCCAGTTTTCATTGACGGTGTGAAATACGATGACAATTTGTGTTGTGATATGTTGTAGGATAACTATGGTGATAATCATAAGTGACTTATCAGTCAGTTAGGTAGCACTACCTTGTTATAAAACGACTAACGATTAAAAGCAATAAAATTATGGTAGAATAGTGGTTTTGATATGGTTAATCATCTTTTACGTAATAACTTATCATAGTAAAAGAATAAGATCCAGTTTACTTTATTAGGAGTTAAACGAAACTTGTTATTAAGGATTATAATCCTATAGGGTTTTCACCATTAACTAACATCAACTATGATGCAATGATGTTATATCATCCTTTTGTTTACAAACTTAAGAAACTTTAGGTTGAGAACTATATTCAGATGTTAGAGTAAGAGAATATCATATAGAGCTACACAAATATCTTTGACTATACAGTAAATGAAATTGAGTACTCTACTATACAATATGCATCAGAAGTAGGTATTTGTTGTGATATAACTTGAGCATACTGTCATATTTATTGTTTGATTACATAATAGATGTTTTTATTGATTTCAATTATTTCAGAAATCATACATGCTATCTAGCACTACCTTTTAATTTAAAGCAAACATATACGAGGCGCTAACTTAATTTTGATTGCTTCATTCAGGTCTATCATTACAGTATATCAAAATAATAAAAAATACTATCCTGTGCCTTGACTTAGATTAGTTAATGAACAATGTAGACGTTAAGTCTATCGGACCATCCAAGTCATCCAATTGAGATACGCGCAAAATCGAAGTTCGCAGAACAACGATCTGTTTAAAACAGCAGTTCTTTATTGGATATTTTACAAAAATTATTGAAAAATCCCAACTTGTGATATACCTGAGACGTTTAGCACGTCCTTTTGTATGAAATAAAAAGGGTTTCGATAGTGTAAAAGACAGCTGATAGATGTATCTAAACTTGGTAACGGTTTATCAACAAGCAAAACCTGAACGAAGAGCAAACAATATGGAGACTGATAGGTCTTGGGTTCGAATCTCACGAGGAGGGATCGTGGATGCGCACAGCTGCGGAGTCCCACAGTAGGGCGAAACGGCCGTCCAGTACTTCCAGATCTTCCATGGTGCTCTAGCTTCAACTGACTCATGATCTCATTCATTAAAATATGGAAACCGTTGCGTTTAAACAAATGAACGAAATTGTGGATAAATGCTACAGTGGTTGAGATAAAGTAACTATAATAATGAGTACAATAAATATTATAAGTAAATATATATATTTCAGAATATTATATGACAAACGTGCGTTACAACATAAGTTTAAAAATTGCCGGGAACACAACTATTTACTGAATGTAAATAAGTAGTATAAAATAATATGCAAAAGAGTAGAAGAGAAGTGAGTTAGACTAGAATGTACAACAGACTTAACAGTAGGTAAATCAATCAAAAAGATAAAACAAGTTAATGGGATCAAATTCAAATGAAACACGATTAAAACATTTTAGAGTTGAGATCACTATTGCGTAATCAGTTAATGGTAAATACAAGTCGATGGTGATAGTTTTACAATTCTCTGTCATTCAGTGTACACATTTCAAGGTGATTAAACTAAGCCAGTTGACAATACCTATCTTTTGTATATTGTTTTCCATTGTCTAGAGAAATAAATGTATCTGTTGTATACATAGGCCACTTTATGAACACTTTTACAATCTGATTATAGGTTATGGGAAATAATGCAAATAAATTATGTTTCAGAAATAGGGAAATCATCGAAGCCACAAGGGATTTAAATGTAACACGCGTTAATCCAGTCAAACTAAGAAAAGAAGTTGTGACGTAAACTCTACGTGATGTCTATTCAACGTTTTCTGAGTGTTTGACAACCACCACACTTGCTTGCTATTCATTTCAAATTAGATCTAATCGTTAAATACATCTCTCTGACCTTTATTCTCAGGTTCTCATTTAACATTCCTTGACAAGCAATCAGTTGGTAATGTAACAGTACTTAATTAATCCATGGATATTTTGAATTAATTTGTCTGTGGAGTAAGGTTATGTAATTCCCAGTTATATAGATGAGTAAACCATCGCTGTTGAACACTGCAAGTTATCAAAAGAGTATTTGCCAACGACACACTAGTTGGGTTTAAACTTCTGGCTGGCAACGTCTTAGAGTCATCATTATCCCACTAGGGAGGAAGTGATCTGTGGTTTTAAATTATACCCCAAAATCAATAGCTCTGTAAGTCTTCGGCGTTTGATGCTGACTATATTAGTTTTAATGGACTCGCCTAGCTGAAGGCGCTCGGTCATTCATCCGCACCAGATCGTGATTGGGAACGCCATGCTCAACTTCCCCTTCAACCATTAGCCAGTTTAGACCAGACAATTATCAAATACATCTTTAAGCCTCCTTGCTTCTGACTCGATTTCACTGTTCGCGTACAACTAATTTACAGATGGTGTTACTGGTTAAAGTGTTATCAAAGTACAAATACCTGTAGTATCTTCAAACTAAAACAACGAACTTGTTCACTTAACAGCTTTACAATATACTTTCGACCAGTTTTAAGCTTATAAAGGCCTGATTTATTTTTAAACAACCTACCTCACAACGTAAAATGTGGTCATTTGTATAAGGATATTTTATTTGATTATAGTGATCTCGCTTAGATTTATATGTGAGTAACTAATTGCAAAGATTGTACTTTCCTGAGAATAGGTCTCTTCGTTGTATCAATTTTTTTACTTTTTCCAATCAATCAACTGTTAAATACAAAAGTATTTGATGTATCAAGTACGACAGAATGTAATTATAAACAGGCAATACGAGAAATGCGAACTAAGTAACTTCCAACTACAACCGAATGAAACCCTAATGATTTAATAAATGATTCAAGTTTATCTTATTAGTACAAAAGTGGTTTAGGGAGAGATCATTATTTTTCTACCTTCCCCCAAATGCCTAAATACGGCCAAGAATGGGGACGTCGGTACTCTCTCTTCAATTACTTTCACGTGGCCACGTGCATACAGCCACTGCCAAGAAAATCCAACACACTGCCTCTCGTGGCATTACTGTTGTTTAAGAAATTGAGAGGACGAAAATTGAATGTCTGGCGCCCTGACAGGGTTAGTGTATATAGAGGATCCACTTGGAGGAGCTGGAAAGCGCTCATTCCAAAACAATGGTGCAAGATCCTGAGGGAGTAAATGGCGTATGAACCTATTTTTGGTGAACCGAAAAACTCAAGGCAAAAACCGAATACAGAGAAGCAAACAAGCAAGTGAAGAAGAACATTGAAGCTGACAAGCAGAAACACGTGGAAGAACGACAACGGAAGAAGCGACAAGATAGGGAAATATGAAACTTCATGCAATTGGTTCCCTTTATGAATTTATATAGAGCAAGAACAAACATTGATGCAGAATAGTATGAATTCATATTGTTTCGAGGTTTCTCGTCAGCTGCTTACAAACCAAAATTGTGATAGAATTTTTACATGGAGATAGTGTGAAACAATCGACATAAATGAGTGCAGTTGGAGCAACTGCATTTACCAATTCACATGTACGTGCCGTAGCACATACATTGGAAGAACTGAGAGAAGAGTACAG